TACGCAATCTCACCCACAAAAAGCCGCACCTTCACGTCACATCCCCTTCTGGGTGCGCCTCGTGGCATAAAAGGACAGCAGAGAGCAGACTGATAGCAGACTTCGATTTCCGAGACGGCACTGTCCATATAGTGGTACAGCGTGATTTCACTACAGCCACTATGCCGAGGAACTGTGCTACGCTTAGCCAGCATCCTAGTTGACGTATATACTCTATCACGCCGTGTCGAGCTATGTCTAGTGTCCCAAATGACGTGAAGCACGGGGCTTATAGAGGAGAGAGATATATAATGAAGGAAAACAATCTCCACTGATCCTGTATCGTTCACTTGCCCCCCTCTAGAGGATGTCTCTGGCGTGTATCAATGCTACGCTGCCTAGTCTCCCCATCAGTCACTCCCTCACGTTTCCGCTGAACCATAATCTATATGAAGCTCCCCTGGGCTCTCTGTTTCTAACTTACCAAGGCCGCCGAGCTGTATATATTTCCTCTAGGCACGTAAGCTTCCCGATAAAGCATACATATATCTCAAAGTCAGTGACTAGACCTGCTGAATCCGGGTCTGAGACCACCCTCTTGAAGCTAGTGTGGGTTATACCGCTCTATAAGTCTCTTCAGGAGCTCCAGCATGATTGTCTGATACATCAGGCACATGAGAAAGATATGCCTAGGGTTCTGCACACTTTTCTTGTATAGACACGCCGCCAAATCGACCGCCTCGATCCTGAGAAGTGGTGACGTGCTATATAACACGAGCAGAGCTATGGCAGAGCTGAGGACTGGGCCTTTTTCATTTCCTAGTATACGTTTGCTGTGGGCCTACCTAGGACGTTGACGAGCTTCCTCAACTTGCCTGGTGCGTGCTCAGGGGCCATCTCCAACATATCCTCTATTCGCTCAGAGCGCTGCCTCAGCTTCCTTCTCAGGATCATGACAAGTACTGTCACCCGGACCCTCGCTACTTTATTCGCGAGCTTATCTATCTCTTCGTTCTCTGGTCAGTCTCCTATATATTCACCACGTACCATCAAGAGGGAGCCCTACAGCTCGCATATGAGCTAGTTGCCGCTGTGGGATGCTCAAAGGCTCCCTCTTCCAACAGCATGGAGGCGTGCTCGTGTGCCAGTTGGTAATGGTACAATGATACAGACACTCGGTTGTACTCCGAACAACATCGCCAGCATATACGGGTAGCTTTGGGAGCGCCCCGAGGCCAGTTATTCTGTCAGTAGACTACGGAAGGTCCGCAGTATGTCTAGGTGCGTTCGGGCATGGGCTCACCATCGTCAAGCTCCTGGCTACTAATGCCCTCGGTGCGTTCGTTCATGAGCTTGCCAGCATCAGGCGACTTACTACGCAGGCTCACAGGGCATTCGTACGGGAATTCGGCGGCAAAGGCATCTGGTCATGAATCAAGGTCTGGGTAACTGGCTACGAGGATAAATTGGTGGAATACGGGTGATTGCCAGCTGGTAAGTCACGGTTGATGCAGCCAGGTAGTATCAGTCCTGTATATATATATAGATATTCCTAGTATGTACATAGCCCTAGCCGCCACCGTCTGGCAAAGGCATTTTTGATGCTATTAGCTCGCAAACCCATCTGACTGCTGAATTTACGTATCTATACATACATTTCGCGAAACAACCCAACCACCGTAGGCTGACTTGCCAGTACGCACTGGCATCCCAATGAACGAGGCAGCAGATCGGCTCGCAGAGGCCGCATCACAGAACTGGTCCTGGCCACACGCCTCGAGTAGAAGATAAGGACAGTCCCCAGCCTTGATCTAACTCTGGCTGGGGCATATAGTGCCCAACCACTTCCTACAAAGTGCCCTGATATGGAAGATAAATTAGCAAGAAGTACAATGGCTGTGAGGAAGACCACACAGCGTAGCGCTAATATGTATCCAATGCCCTCCACAGGGAAGGAAAAGATCTAGCACATGATCCGTAGAGTCAGTGCTCCGCTTCTCATATGCATGCCCTTTCTCAGTTCTCCTTTTATGCGTCGAACCCCGGCTCGACGCAGTATTCTAGATTCATATAGGTTAGATAGGACGCCGGTTCCTCAGAGTGCAGCTCCCCCGGTATAGCGGCCACGATGAAGGATTATTTGGTCGAGTTTATTTGCAGAACGGCACTCTTTGTGACTGCGTACCTTTGCAGCTTGGTGGCTAAGTCTCCACGAAAGACTCCTGCCTTCACAGTGAGCTATGATTCTCCGACATGGAGACATACCTTCCTTCCATCGTCTCCCTCTGGCGAGGAGCCGCCACCTTCCGGATCAGCCTCCGCCTTATCAAGCAGGACCTGCGGTTCTTCGGCGCTGTGTAGATCTACACTGAGTCCGCGTGATCGTGGATCTGCTCGGCGAACGACGCGCCGCTGAATGAGGTACGCACTTCGAGTGAATTGTCGGCGTACTCGGCAATAAAGACGCTGGCGAGGGGCTCAGACTTGCCTACTTTTCACGCAGCTACGCCAATGGCGCCCAGGCACGCAAGTTGACACGACACTCAATGCGATATCAGATGTGGGTGGGGGCTATGTGGAGGGAATAGCCAGCACGTCTGTCGGCTACGGACAGTGGGAGAGACACACTAGGATACAATTGGTGATGGTACGGGATTTGGGCAAAACGGGGAGTCAGGGTGGAACTTGATGTTAAACAAGCTAGCCTGATAACAACCATCCGATATGGTGTAGTGGCTAACATCGGCGTCTCTCACACGCCAGCCAGGGGTTCGATTCCCCTTATCGGAGTTTCTTTTTTTTTTCCTTTTCTATAGTCCACCAGTATATATCGTCTGTTTGAAGAATATTCCTTTCCAATGAATTTCTATTGAATATTTCACCAACTACTCTCTCTATGCCTGCCATCTCTACCGTTCCATGCGGTGTTTCTGCCAAGACTGAACCCGGAGTCGCCGACAGCCAGACGACAGTAACCAGGACAATGTACATAGTGGGAATATATATATATTTACACGATACGAGCAATCCCAGATAGCAGCATCGCACTTTGTTTCGCCAATTAGCTTCCCGTATATTCGTCGGTGTCCCGTAGCTAATTACCCATGTCTGCTCGATTCGTCGTCCGTTGCTCGGCGCAGATAAGTCCCGGCCTGAGCACGCCGGTGAGCCTCCGCGCAAGCCTCGATGGCCAGTTGCCTGACGCCAGCTAAGCCTCTCCCAAGTATACTGCAGATCCCCATCACCAATTGCTTGACACCGGTGAGTCCTCGCTCGGGCATACCGCGAGCCCCCGGACGTCGGTTTCCTGGCGCTAGCAGGCCCACGATTGCACGCCTGGATACTAAGGCCGGTGGACCTGGCGCTGGATGTCGAGGAGCCCCGGCAGTGTGCGTACGCCGGCACCGCTACTAGTTGGTCCGCTCCGCCCGCAGGTGCCAAGGGCTCCGCCCCGAATCCCCCCCATGTCAGGTTTCGGACCCGGGAGTGCTTGCACGCGCACACACGGCCTAGGCTATGCCGGTGGGTAAGTAGAGGAAGCACGAACGGGCACCATCCCTAGAGGCTGACGCCCGCGTGCTCCCCTCTAGCCCTCGGCTACGGGCTCTAGAGCAACCCCAGGACACACCTATCGGAGCTGAGAACGTTGTCTGGGCGGCGGATGAGTACCCGTACTGTTGAACCCTCAAAGGTACGTGCTCGCCTTCGTGCCGTATAACGGTGGAGAATTCGCCAGGCAACTGGCTACGATGTGTATCAATCCGGGTAACTGGCTTCGAGTTTCAGTTGGCGAACTACAGGAAAATTGTTGACTGGCAAAGCACATCTGCAGTCTGCTGGCAGGCCCCTATCCAGCTCTATCGTACACTCCAGTGATGCCAGCCTAATCAAGCTCTCTTCTCGTCCACACTCCAGCGATGTTTCCAGGAGATGGACATGTCTTCCTCACCGCGTTCCTATAACCTCCTTTGTAAAAATGTTCTCGCGGTATCGCTGCAGGGTACGCCTTCAGTAGGTGAGGTGCATCTGGAGAATGTGTCGAGGGTATCTCAATAGCTCTGAGGTGAGTGACTGGGTCTGTTCAGCAATGAGACGATGGGAATGGCCCCAATCGGACCATTCATGCCCTCCTCAACAACAATGCCCGTGGAGAAATGACCGGCATCACCAATCTAGACGGGACAAAGTCAAGATGGACCTTGCTGGGTGCAAGTAAATCGACTAGAGGTCTCTTTATCCCAAGATTGACAGCCTGCAAGGGGCGACGGAGGTGGTCTGGACGGTCGACAGCTTCCCTGACAGTCCAAGAATCTCTGTGGTCCACTTCGTGGACGTCTTAGGAAGCGATAAGGTCGGCAATGTGACCTGATTCACGCTGCTCGAGGGTCTGAAAGCCACAATTATCAGAGTACTGTGCCTGGGTGTCCTTGTCTTTCTACAATACCTCAAGCCATCGGTTCTACGCGGCCACCGCGGGCAAGGCTAACTGCATCCAGGCTCTTTATGAGGTTAGGGACTCGATTTTCAAAAACAAGATAAAGTCCAAAGATGAGGATAAGAGCTAGCAGGAGCTCTACAGCCGCGCCTCTGCCATCTACAACTGAAACTAGGGTTCCAACTCATCACCCTGATCATGAAGTGGCTGCTGGACCTACAGCAGTACGACCTTCCTGGATGGCCGGCGGGACAGCTCGGGCGAGGACGAGAAGAAAGATCTGGTGATTTTGCACTGGCAGACTCACTGTACTTGGTCGTCCGGAGTTGCCAGTTGACCTATGTGAAGCGCTTCGTGATGAAGTAATTCGAGGGAGTCATCGCCAACGGCGACCGCTACTTCCGCCAGACTTCCTGAAAGCCGTGCCACTCGCAGTTTAACGCTACATCGAGGCCTCGGCCGTCCTGAAGCCCACACTGTAAAAGGTTCCCCGGGTGGGCAAGCCCCGGTTCCAGACCTACAACTAAGTATAGCGTGAGATCAACGCCTGGTGCCCTTCCAGCTGGCTTTTTCCTAGCAGCTGCCCATGGAAGATACGGCCTTTGATCTCGGTCTCACGCAGGGCTTGTCTCAGGGAGTGGCGGCATCAGGCGAGATTGCCAGTGCACTGGTCGCCTTGAACGGGCATCTTCCGTGGCAGCGATTTGCTCACTTCCGCGGAACGTACCGAGAATCTGCTCGAGGTTGATTCAGCGCCTTCCTCGGAACGGTGGAACTGGAGTTCGAAGCCCTGTGGACGCTGCGCTCGCGGCACGAGATAGTGGTATAACAGTTCCTGGTGGGAATGCAGGTGAAGCAGCGTACGGAGTTCGAGGATACGGACAGAGCCAGATCGCCAGCCGGCCGACCCAGTACACTCGCCAGCTGAAGATCAACCTGGCAGACAACAGGATAAAGGCGAACAACAAGAAGATTGCCGTTATAGACCAGTCTTCTGACCTAACGGCAGCTGGTGGATAATGTTGCCTCGGCTGAAGATTATCCCTGCACCATATTCACGCCTGAGGTGCTATGGTCAGCTGCCAGGAGCTGCATAATGGAGTATAGCTGTGGCTGGCTGTGAAGGGCACGAAGTAGGCCAATTCCGCCTGTCCCAGACCTATGAGATCTTCAAGCAGATCCCCTTTGCCAGCTGGGCCCGGCGAGTTTTCTAAAGCTCCAGATCACCGGCGAGATGATCTTCTCACTGCCAGAGGAGCTCTTTGATATAGACTTCCCGCAATATCACTTCCGCCGCACCAAGTTCATCGCCGTCTCAGTGCACTGCATAGTGTATTCACCAGCGTTAATGGCAACCTGTGCCTGGACCAGCACATGTACCGGACCAGCGGTCCGCCGCATGCAACTCACGCCGGCGTGGCTTACCCCCTCCCAGCCATCGCCATCAGCAGCAGTCACGCCGACACCGGCCTTTGAGCTCATTGCCGGGGCAGTACTCCAGCCCTTCGAGGGCGCCGGCGTCGTGAGCACCTATACCTTAACTGCGAGAAAGTGACAGTCAAGCAAGCACTAACCAACTAGGCCAAAAAGACCGCGTCTAGTCATATCCTGACTGTATTATATAGGAGTAAAATCTTTTTCTGACATTAACCCTATCCCTGGACTACCAGGCTTCGACTACAACGCTACAAGTGACATGATCTTAAACCCCGCTATACGGCCAAGGAAAGCACAAACGCCGTTTTAACCGATTTCCATCATGCATTTAAGATGTGTAGCCTGAACGCCCTACTCAACCTCCACAGCGACTCTCCCACCTATGGCACGAGCCTATCGGCGTCCTTTAGCTCTGGAGTTTTATCGGGGAATGATATACAATCATCATTTAAGAAGAATAGAGTCGGAGTATTGCAAGAATCTATATAGTATTAGTTCTAGATATATGGTTAATATATTACATTTAAAGGCATCCTATTGTTGATCATCTTAGTCTAACAATAAGCTTTTGTTCCGTCCCGAATGGAACCGTGCCGATCTCCCGTGTGGGAGCCGGCGCTAAACCAAGACAGTGAACCTAATCCATCTCGAACAATAGCACACGGTAACTCCCCAAGAGAACAGACGTGCATCTACTACGGATACCTACGAGGGATACACACAAGGTCACTGTTCGCTCGGGGGATACAGTGTACTAGAGAGGAAATAGTCAAGAAGAGAATTGACAGAGCTATAAACTAACGAGGTATCTGGTTTCATGGCCTTTTACCATAGATGAAATACAACTTTCCATATTGGTGCACCGAGAGATCTGCCAGCTCAGCCCGAATCTTGGACGCCATGACGGCAACTTCCAGATCTTTCCACCCCAGGACTGTCGTCAGGATGCCAGGAAGATACGAGCCCAGGGCCTGGCTATAGTGTGACTGCATAAAGTGCCCGATCTTCTTTTGCTTCTCATCGTCCGACCACGGACTCAGCGGAACTTTGATCACCTTGAGCTTGATATCTTCGAAGCCTGCGGATTTCAAAGCCTGGGTCCATGTCTCTTCGATATCCTGCATGGGCTTGCCGAACTTTGCCCCGGCCTCTTCGATCAGAGCACACATCTGGAGTGTGTAGCGGCCCCGTTCTTGGAGAGAGTTGTCGTCGGAAAAGATGTCGAGAGTGAAGGATTGGAGTTCAAAGTATCCTCCGGGTATGAGGTTATCGAAAGCCTGCTTCGCTAGTCGGTTGATGTCTTTGATTGCCCCCGCGAGCTCGCGGCCATGGATATAGTCAAAGGGACGGGAATACGCCCATTCCGACTCGAAATCGTCTACTTCGAAGACGCAGTTGGAGGGGACCCTAGCCATATGGACTCGCCGTTAGAACAGTTTGAATACCAGTCAACAGGGGGTGTTTCAAATCGTTTACCATCCAGGTTGGATCGGGCTCAGGTCGTTTCCAACCACTTCCGCACTGGGGAATTGACTAAATAGATAGACCGAGGTCAGTATATATATGACATCGAACTTGTACAAAGGAGAGTTAATATATACTCGGCAAAATCTATGGCCCAGATGCCCGTTCCGGTACCGATATCTAGAACACGACCGAGACCGGTCTCCTTGATGGGGGCAAGATGTAATTCCCCGCCCAGAATCATGCTGTAGATGTGGTGCAGGAAGTCCATGCGGTCCTGCTCATCTTCGTCGTTTGGAAACAAATATTCGCCCTTGCGGTAGCTCTGGTAGCGACGGCCATTTTCATATCTGGCGGTCGTCCGTTAGCATCAGAATTGATGTAATACAAATAAAATCAAAACGCACTCGTAATCCAGCACGCTTGACCGGAGGGATGTGTAGTCTGTTCCGAGCGAGCTCAGTGAAACATTGTCGCTTTCCTGGTCCCAGTTAGATGGAGACTTGCGAAAGAAAAATAGACAAGATTCACTTGGGGAGAAGGCGCAGCATCGTCAACCTCGAGACGATCAGTATTGGCAGCCCCATCGGTGTTGGTGTTGGTGTTGGAAGCCATTGCGTTGTCCGTCGGCAGTCCTGCGCGGGGGGGAGGGGGGGAGAAGGGTTTAATTGTGTAGATTGCAGAAAAAAGCAGATCACGCTGTACTTATAAGCTAGTTAACTAGCTATAGGGTAACAACTGCATGAACTAGTTTCAGTAGTCTATAATATGTATGGAGTGCTTTTATAGTAATACTCCGTAAGTATGCTGCTTCACAAACTACTGCACTCCGGCAGGTGCACAGGAGGATAATTCTGCCTGTGAAACGGTGATAAGGTGGAGCCCGAAACAGAGCAAGGAAATACGTCAGGCATTGGATGGAATGTGTTGGGGATCTGGCCGCTTCTGGACTGGCACAGACGACTAATGCGGACTATGATTCTCGCCACGCTTTATCGACCGTCGCGGCTGACTCGCCGAGCCAATCGCTTGTTCCAAGGCGCAACAACGGCGAGTCTCGTCTCCTGGCCGAGGTCGAGATTGATCCGCAAGAGGGCGTGTCTTGTCAAGTGGGGAAGATGTTCTTTGTTCTCTACTGTGCTCTCTAAACCCTATCCAGACACAATGGAGTAAATGAGCCTGGATATAACTAATGATAACTATGATAGTATGGACATATTTAGGATCAGTTATAACACCATTAGGACTAATTAAAAATCTCCGCTCCTGCTGCTGGCCTTTACTCTACTTTACTCATGTCTCAGGTCAAGAACTACAAATATGAAAATGGTCACATTGCCACGATGAGCTTAAGCAGGACCAGCAAGTAATGATATTGAATATTCATAGCTTAGGTATAGCTAAGTCACTAACTACTAGGTAACTAGTCCAGTTGTGTTATGTTAACAATGTAGAAGCAATACTCCATATGGACACGCTCGTGGAGCAAAGGCAATCTAGACTGCTCATTCTGTCAGCCTCCACTCCATTCCAGTGGTCTCCCTCAAGGACTGCAAGACTCCAGACGACGGTACAAACAGCCCGACAGGCCAGGGGCCCTCATGCCAGCGGTTTACCAACTGTCCTGCCCACTGCCATCCGCCAGCGGCATAGTCCGGCATGAAGACGCCCGCCCCGGAGTCACCGGGGGCGCACACGGGTTTGGCGTGCTTCCTCAGAGGGTGGAATGTCAGCAACCGGGCCACCACCACCGTGGGATCCGAGTGATCAGAGGAAGCATCGGCACTTCGCGCACGGAACATTTTTGACTCAAACGGCCCAACTCGGCCGGCAGTGCGTTCACTGCCCGCCCCATCCTTGTAAAGGATCGCGCCGGCTTCCGGATCAGTTGCTCCCACCACACGGTGCGGATCGAAGATGGTTGGAGGAGGCAGCGCCCCTTCCGTGCCGGCCGCGAAATCCGGCATTGCGTCTTCGAACCACTGCCCGTTCTTGCCCTGCCATCCCTCCGCCAGTCGCACCAGAGCCAGATCGGTGCGCCAGCCCTGTTCGTTGACCCCGATGTCCCCATGCTCGACGGTCCCGCACGGCTCCCTCCACGACGCCAAAAGACGGGCTGATTGCTGGGTATCTGCGCGGAAGGTGGCCCGGAGTAACTCGCTGAGGATGTCAAGCCCCCCCGGCGTGATGGCTCGGGTCTCCTCCTTCTCTGAAAACGGCACGACATGGTACGCCGTTAGGGCGTATTTGGCTGGCGGATCATCGGTGTTGCTAGCGGGGGAGAGAAACACACCGACCGATCCCTTGGACTCGTCGCCCTTGAGTGAAATAGACTGGCCGTGGACGAGGTGGCGAGACTGCTGCACAGGGCGCAGCATAGTATTCTCACGCAATACAAACCGGCGTTGGCTGGAGTCGACGCGATCTAGCCCGGTGAGTCCAAGGACCTGTTCGGCGTCGGCCAGATGGTCGGCCATATCGTTGATCTGGGCGGTTATCACGATTATGGGCGTGGCCTGGGTGGGGAGCGCCGCGAGTACAGGGGCTGTCTCGTCAGCGTCGACGACGAGGCAGACGCACTCGATCCATAAGTTCCGCCAGCCGAACGGGCACCGGGTGGCAACCACGGTGCGCACGGTACGGTCGCGACGCAGCAGGTTCTCTAGGTATGAAAAATCGTCTTCAAGAGGGCGCACTCGCCCCTGGGCCACTTCTGGGAGCATCGGGAGCATCCCAGGATCGCAGACAACTTCCTCCGGGAGAGGCTCCACGCGGTTTGACATGTCGTCGTACCAGGAGTCCTTCGTGTTAACCAGCTGCTGGTTGTATCCCCGCGCGCCATCGAGGATGGCCATCGACTCCCAGAGACTGGGTTCCTGGCGCGTTGGCTGCTGTGGGAAGGCCCGAAGACCCCAGCGGAGCAACGCCGCCATCGTCTGCTGGTAGAGGAGCTGCGATGTTGGGTCGACGGGCTGCGGGCGGAGGTCAGACAGTGGTTCAATGGTGGTGCCATCGTCAAGTTCTGCGGCATCGCCTTCTGCTAGTGCGCGGATGGCCTTCAGGACCGTCTCGGGCTCGGGAGATCCCAGGATGGCGTTCACCTTGTCGGCCAACTCCCGGAACACCGGCTGCTCATTCATCTTTTGTCGTTTCGCCCGTGTCCGGATTGAGCGTGACCTCTAGATGTGCCTGAGGGAGGTACGTTCAACGGATGAGGTCATATTGACCGCCTGAAGAGTGTGAACCACAAACCACGCCGCGATATAGACAAGACCATGGCACTGATCCACACAGATTGCCACAGTAAGTATGAAATATAAAAACATAGACAGTAGGAATTTCACTGGTTCAAGATATATGGTGATTCAGGTAAACTTTTAAATTTATGTGATCTCTTGATTAATTCCTCCACTAATTCCTTACTGTATCCTTACAAGATGCGGTCATATACAGAGAGAGTATCCTCTGATATAACCCCGCTCGAACACTTCCAGGGTCGCCGACGGCCAGGCAGCGATGACCAGGACGATATAAATGATAGAGATATATATCTTGATACATGATTAGACCAAGGGCAGTTGGAAGCTAAATGTGCTTTGCCAGTTGACAATCCCCCATAGTTCTCACACCAATTAATCACCGTAGCCAGTTGCCTAGCGCTGGGGGCCTTAGCCGCTAAGGCATGTAAGTGTCTGGGGGACAGAGGGAGGGCCGTTCGGCAGCTTGTGCGGTGATTCGTGCGGGCTTCCTTCGGGGGGGGGAGTGCCGCGGTGCATCAGTCACTGTGCTCGCATCGTTCAGAGAGCTTCGGGGGAGGACAGTTATAATAGTCTATCTTAGCTGCCTAATCTAGTACCTTGACAACACCACAAATAGCTATGAAATTGGCAGGGAAAGAATATAATATTTGGAGTATTAATCTACATCATCATCATCATCATCTCGGTTCGTGGCTTGATGGGGGCGTCTCAACAGAGACAGTAGCGGGTGGAATTTGCCTCGCCCTTGACCATAGGACGGAAGCGTGGCTGGGCCTGTATCAGAAGCGGATAGGCTTTGCTCAAAAGGAGTTTCATCGACAGTGCTATCTCGCCAAGATTGCAGTATTTTCGCGGTTTCGATCGTATCGGGATGAGTAGAGCCAATCTTCTTCTCCCGTAATTGAAGACAATCCTCAAGCAAGGCAATGGCCTGATCATTGCGTTTTAGAGATTTCAAAGTGTCAGCAAGATTGCCCATGCTTCTCAGTGTATCAGGGTGCTCGGCGCCAAGCACTCTCTTGCTTATCTCTATCACCTGCACCTCAAGCTCTTCAGCTTCCTTCCATCGGCCCTGATTC